TAATTAAATAATGTTTACATATGTATAAAAGCCTACATTAAAATCTGTCATATAAATTGGTCTCTTCATTAGAAATTAGCCTACTGATTGCCTAATATTATTAAAAATATCTGTATGACATTATATTCTGCAGTTCTTCCCTGTTGTACCGAATATCTATACTTTTCAAATTATCATATCGAAGTTAGAAATTCAAATATTGTGACAAAATTTATTTTGTAGGGTGCCACAAGTTTGTTAAAATTTCAAATTTTAAGTTCGGCCAACTATGGCAATATTGGTATCTTTGTTCCAGTTCCAGTTTCATTCCAATAGGCTAATGTGATCAAAAGTTATTAGCATTTTTTGGAATTTTATTATTAGTGGTTAATAAATAGTTGATTACTTTTGACCAATAGGTGGTGCTGTGACCAAATTGATGTGGCATGGTCAGTGTGAGGTGACAATGGCACATAAAAATTTGGTGTCAATATCTCAAAGCTTTGCGGTTTTATGGGCTGCCATAGACTTCCAGAGTGGAAGAATAATAAATATAGCTGCAAGCAGCAATTATGGGGCCAAGCACTACAGAAGCAAGCATCAGACCAACTGCAGCAATGAGTAATTAAAACTATTTTAAGATGATTTTAGTCAAAATGGCTGAAAAAATCATAAATACAACCACTAGTAATATGATTTATTGGCTTATCACTTTTGACCAATGGGTGGTGCTGTTATCAAATATATGTGGTGTGTTCTGTGTGAGGTGACAATGGCACACACAAAGTTTTGTGTCAATATGTCAAAGATTTGCAGAGATACAGCCTCAGAGTCATTTTGGCATCATGCCTCAAATTTTTAGTGGCGCTATACAAAAACGGTTTTGTCTATCGACATGAAATCCATAAATTTTTGCCAGCATGGTCTGAAGATGATCCGAGTCCAATTTGGTGAAAATTGGACCAACGGTCTAGGAGGAGTTCGAAAAAGTAGGTTTTCAACATAAATCAAAATGGCAGACAGGAAATTCAGCCAAATCTGGCATAATTGGAATCTATGTTTTTGGCATGATCCAAGGAATCTATCAACATCAGTCTTATTACAATAGGCTAATGTAAACAAAAGTTATTAGCATTTTTAGAAATTTTATTATAATTTGTTACCACAAAATTGCCGCTTCCCCCAAACTTTTTGAGTAACATTAGGGCATGGTGTCGAAGATGCATACCGAGTTTCGTAATGATAAGTCAATGCTTTGTAAATTATAGCATTTTACGACAAAATTCAAATTGGCCGACGCCCAAAATGGCTGACATGGGAAAATTGGGTATGGTTTGACTCGGCACGGTATGGTCTGCTCCACCTAATCTAAAGAGTTAGACAAGAGTTTTGTGATTTTTGGTCAAACCATTGAGAAGTTATAAGCAAAAATATAAATTTTTCATATCTCCTGACCACTAGGTTGCACTGCGCCGAAACACTGCAGGTAGCCTGACGTTATGCTTGTTATAACACACACCAAGGTTGGTTTCAATATGCCAAACCATTGTGGAGATATAGCCACACATCCATTTTTGCGTGCTTTTCGTAGAAGAATAATAATAATTTTCGTAGAAGAATAATAATAATAGGAACGCCAACGGATGCAATAGGTGCCATCGCACCTTCGGTGCTTGGCCCCTAATAATAAAATGTTTAAGTGATTATAAATGAATGAATGAATATTAAAAAAATAAAACACAACACAGAAGTATGGTTGGTCTAAGGAGCAACAGTATAATATATAACTATTATACTATATTTTATTATACTTTAACCTGTTAGTGATGTCTTAATTAGTTAATGTATGTTTAAATAAATCTGTCAGGAAAACAAGTTATAACAGCCACTGATTGTATTTCAACAATGAATTGGAGTAGAAAAATAATTGTATTATTAGAAGTAAAAACAGCCTATTTACATGTTTGTTTGTTTGTTTGTTTGTATGTTTGATAGTTTGCCTGTTTGATTTTTGAGTGTTGATTATTTTATCTAAAATTGAGAGAAACTGAATTTAAAAGTTTAGGCACTGTTGCTAATTGTAACCTATAATATTGTAGTAATGTGCAAGTAATAGGCCTCACTATATAGTTTACAGTCTTAGATTAGTTTTTTTTTTTTTTTTTTTTTTTTTCTTTAAAAATTTTTTAT